GGCGGAGTAGGGCTCCAAGATAAATTCGGCTGAGTCATGGAAAAAGTTATACTTCCTGCCTGCTTCGCTGTGTGGTCTGAACCTCTCACCTCCTCTGGTGATCTGGGGAATTTAACTATTCCTGTGCTAGTTGTGTTTTCAGACCCCCCCCCCCCTCATATCTCTATGTATTTATTTACTTTATTTATGTATCACTTGGGTTGAAATCTTCATTTTGAAATAATTATAGATTCGCAGGAAATTGCAAAAAAGTGAAATTAACCGGGGGATTTTGTGCGTGCTTCACCCAGCCTTCTCCAATGGTAACCTGTTGCATAACTATCGTATACTATCAGCCAGGAAGCTTACTCAGATTTCATGTTTCACGTATATTCATTTGTGTGTGTGTCTGTGTGTGTGTGTGTGTGTGTGTGTGTGTGTGTAACCAGCACCTCAATCAAGACCCAGAACTGTTCCGTCAACACAAGCTCCCTCATGCTACTCCACCGTAGCCACCCTCATCCCTCACCACCACCCCATCCGCAACCCCTGGCAATGTTCTTCATCTCTATAATTTCAGGAATATTATGTAAACGAAATCATACAGTATGTAACCTTTTGAGATCCGCTTTCTTTACCCCCTTGAGATCCTTCTAGGTGGGTGAATCCATTGATACTTAGTTCCTTTTTATTGCTGTATAATATTCCATGGCATGGATATACCACAGTTTAAACATTCGCCTATTGAAGGATGTTTAGGTTGTTTTCAGCATGTGGCTGTCATGAATCCTTACGTATTTGTAAAATTAATTTCAAAAGTGTCCACCAGTGGAAGCTGTGTTCTGGGTTTGGACGGGAGCGGTGTTTTCTGTGACCCCGCAGTCCTGGAAGTTTGGTAGGTTTAGGAATGGGCCTGTGACTCAGTTCCTGCAAGGGCCTTTCAAGGGAGTGTACCGGAATCTTCTGGGAAAGGTTTCATCATTGATGAAAAGGGACCCGCAGGAAGAGAGAGAGTACGCATGGAGCCTGAGGGAGCGATGAATAAGGAGGCGGAGCAAATCAGAAGGGCCCACCCGATTACGTATGAAGTGCTTGTGTGTCCTTGTTAGGGAGTCTGGACTCGGTGCTGCGGGCAGCAAGGAACCGTTGCTCAGACCTGCTTCACGCTGCTGACCCTGCAGCCTGGGGAATGATTCAAGGTGAGAGCTTGGGAGCAGGACACCAGGTAGGAAGTAGCTGGGTGAATTGCACTGATTATGAGACCAGAGCGGGGTTCCAAGGGAAGGGGCACAAAGGAATATGGGGTGATAAGGAGATAGAATTGCTGGCCGGCTGTGCTCAGGGGTCTTAGGAACCTGTGCTCAAATGGCCCGAGGTCCTTACTAGCTCCCTCCCGGCTGTCAGATTCGTCTGCACAGGCCCAGATACATTGGTAACTCAGGTAGAGATGTATTTCTTGAATGAAAATGTTCCAGGAAATGGGATGAAAATTGCTTCATTGAAGCGAATGGTCCAACTATCCATGTTCCTTTGCACTCTATGAGCATAGTTTCTCTGCCACACAGACCTGATGCCACCGTCAGAGCGGCTGGGCCAATATGTCACAGGTGACACCTGTACAGAAGACATATCCCTTCCCAGTGACTAATGCGACTTGCTCTAGAGGAAGGCCAGGTTACAAGGACATGGACGTCTGTGATTTACTGCTGACTTTGTCAAGAGTCACACAGCAGAGACATTGCTCAGCAACTCAAGGTTTTAGAAATGAGCTCTTGTAAAGAGTGAGTAGGAAGAGGAGGGTCCCCTGCTCAGAACGGAACAAAAGGAAAGAGCGACCGGTGGGGGCAGACCACCCCAGGGGGCAGGTAAAGGAGGGTGCACTCCTGGGGGACCATACAGGTGGCTCCTCCTTGTTTTTTCTTAGTTTTTATTATTAATTTAACACATTCTTGTTGAAAAAAATACCTCCCCCATCACACACACACACACACACACACCCCTCTTCTCAATTTCTAAGGGTCACCACAGTTTGACTCCTCTCACACACTTTCTAGGCATAATCAAATATATATGTCTTCATAGTTAAAAAACCACATTTGTGTGGCATCATCATGCTCAGTCCAGTGCCTTTCTCAGGAAATGATACATCTTGGATATTCTTCCCTGTCAGATAGAACTACCTCCTTTTTCATGGCTGCATAGTATTCCAGCAGGAGCCTGTGTCATGATTTATTTAGCATCTCTCCTACTGGTGGCATTTAGGTTGATTACAGTTTTTCACCGTTATAGATAATCAGCAATGAAAAGTCCTTGGACATGTACATGTTCTTGAGCACATGTGTGAGTTCTGCATGAAGATATATTCATGCAAGTAGATTCTCTCAGCTTCACTTCATGGCAGATTGGTGTCTTGTCACTGACTAGAGACAGTTCAATATTTTACTTAATTTTTTTGAAAATAAGCTTCTTTTTTATCTATTGATTTGAGAGAGAGAGAAACATCGATTTGTCATTCCATTTATTTATGCATTCATTGGTTGATTCTTGTATGTGCCCTGAACCCACAACTGTGGCATATTGGGACGATGTTCTAACCAGACCGTGCTCTAACCAACGAAGTAACCCGCCAGGGTCGACAGTTCAATATTTTCAATTAGTCACCTGCCCACTTAGCCAGAGCAAATGATCAGAGCAGCATCATTTCTTCTTGGAATCCAGGCTTTCAGAACTGGACAAGCTAATGCGCCAAACGACTCATATTCAGGTCACACTGGGCTATTTACAAGGCACTTTGTCACATTCTGGTTCACCCAATCCTCATATTGATCCTTCGAAGAAGGCATCATTAGCATCCCTGTTTGGCAGATGAGGAACTAGGTTCAGAGAGGAGGAGACATCTGCCCAAGGTCACACAGCTCATAAGGGGCAGAAGACTCAGAACCCCAAGACAGAGCTGATGAAATGCTGCCTTCTTCCTAAATCCACAATACGTGGTGCCACTTGTGAGAAGAGCATCATAGCGGACGGTTAGCTAAAAAGGCAGGTGAAATAAACACCTTCCTACATGACTGAGTTTGCAGGACGTATTAGTTCCCTGTTGCTGCTGTGACAAATGACCGCAAACATCCTGGTTTAGAACAACACAAATTTATTATCTTACATTTCTAGAGGTCAGAGGTCCATAACGGATCTCACTAAACTGAAATTAAGGTGTCAGCAGGGAGGGCTCCTCCTGGGGGGCCTAGAGGAGAATCCATTCCTGGCCTTTTCTAGTTTCTAGAAGCTTCCCACACTCCTCAGCTCCTAGCTCCCTTCAGCCACTGAATCACTCTGACCTCTGCTTCACCTGTCCCATCTCCTTCCCTGACTCTGACCCTCCTGCCTCCCTCTTATAAGAATCCCTGCGGCGATATTAGGTCCAGCAGGATAATTCAGGATGATCTCCCATCTCAAGACCCTTACCTTCATCATATCTGCAAAGTCCCTTTTGCCATGTAAAGTAACGTATTTGCAGGTTCTGGGGATTAGGATGTGGACATCTTTGGGGGGTTTTATTTCGTTTTGTTTTGTTTTTATTTTGATGCTGGCTGCTTGCCATTTATTTTCCACTCAGTGCAGGGGACACAGCCACAGGGTGTCAGCAGGCTGGTGTGTGGCTTGGGTAGTAAAGGGAGGGGGGGAGATGACAAAGATAAACAGGTCTCCTCTCCCACCTTCTCAGATTTGCCTGTGGCTCAGCTTTGGCTGAGAATTTCGCCAGCCTCTCCCCAGGTTAGCCAGGGTGAGCCGCCTAAAAGGAGCGCTCCGGAGATGGTTTGCTGAGATCCACGGGACCTGCCCCGTTGGGTTTGCAGCAGCGCCGGGCGAATCCGGAGCCGGATCCTGGCACGGAAAAGTACTGAGGCTCTTCGCCTCCAGGTGGGAGCTGGAGCCCCGGCCTGAAGCGATCATCCCCCGCCGGGGCCTCTCAGAAGTCAGACTCGCAGAGTGAAATGGAAACCAGATTCCAGGCTTATCTGCGGGCTACGTGACTGTCCCCATCGCTCCTCTGGAGCCTGGCAGGTTGCCAAATTCAGTCTAAACTTTGCGATGCATAGGCATAGATCTTATCCGGGAGCATGTTCTCACAGGTACCCGCTTACACAGGGGCTCCCCAACCCCTAAAATAATATTCTGGGGGCTTTCATTCACTCATCAAATATGTACGAAGCACCTGCAGGGAGCCGGCGAAGTAGCCGGGACAGGAATCCCTGCCCATGAGAGCAGGAGTGGAACTGGAGAGAATCCCATCCCTGTGCCGAGATGCGACAAAGGCGACTTCCTGACTGGCAGTTGGGGAAGTGGGGGGGGGAGGGGACCTTGTCCCAGAGTAGAGAGCATGTGCAACTGACAAGGACACATTCCAGAAAGGGGGGGCACAACTTCTAGAGCCACCCAACCAGGGGCAACTCCTGCTACTTCCCAGCTGTGTGACCTTGGGCAGAAGACCTCCCCTCTTGAAGCCTCTGCCTTCTCTTCTGTAAAGTGGGTGTAAGCACTGACCATGTCGTGGTTGGTATACGGGTTCCAGGAGATGGTGCAAGGAAAGCAGGTTGGTAGTGAGGATGGGAGGACTAGCAGTTATGTTATGCTCGCGGGACTCCCTGCTCTGTTTCCCCAAATCACAAGGCAGCCCGGAATTTGCGTGAACACCAGGGCTCTGCTGACCCGTGACTGTGTGAGTTGAAACAGTGTGTGTGTGGGGGGGGGGCCGAGGGGGCTGGAATACCCACCAGTGGTAACTGTAGGTACACACACACACACACACACACACACACACACACACGGGAGAACCGGAGACCATGAGTCCCCATGAGTGCAGCACGCAGCCCTCCGGAGGGGAACTCGCTTGCAGTCCCACCAGGTGCCTCATTTCTGTGCTGGACACGCGAGCTTCCCGGTAGGAGGCATCTTCTCTGACACCTGGCCGGCTGCCCGTTGGCTTTTTCTCAGGGTTCGAACTTCAAAGGCCTGGACACGCACCCGAGAAGGGGACTCAGGCCTGACCTCCTCGGGAATTCAGCCTGAGATTGAGGGAGGAGGCGGGCTGCCTTCTCCAACTTTAGAGCCTCGGTTTTCGGTGGTTTGGCTGCGATCAACCCACCCAGGTCGGACGCCAGGCCGGCGCGGCTCCCGGGCAAACATCCAGGCCGGGCGGAGGCCGAACTGCAGGTGAGAGCGCCCTCGCCCAGCGGGGTTCGCCCTCCCGGGGACCCGGCCTCCGGCAGCGGCGCGGGGGCTCTGCGCAGAGGCGGCCTCAGGCCGGGGGACAGCGCCTGCGCTTTCCTGGGAAAGTTCCCTGCGAAGTTGGGGATGGCCCCCCAGCACCGGAGACTCCGGGGCCTGAGCGCCCCCATCCCGCGCGCGGGACCCGCAAGCCAAACCGGCTTCGTCTGGGCGGAGGCGCCGGCGTGGACCCCGAAGGCGCTGGGACACCTGGGACGGGGTGGGGAGCCGGAGGGGAGGCGTGAGCGGACTCGCTGTTTAAAAACTCGCTTCCCAAACCTCCGCCCTCAGTCACCTCGCAGGCGCGGGCCCCAGCACTGCCAGCCCCGATCCCGCTGCCGGAGGGTGAGAGCCGAGCCCCCCGCACCCCGCACCCCCCATCCCCCTGGGAAGAGCCGGCGCCGGGCGGCCAGGTGAGCGCGAGACCAGGTACTGGCGCTGCGGGGTCCGAGCGCCCGCGCCCAGGGGGGAGCCAGAGGTGGGGCGTCTCCCATCGCTATTAACCCACAAATACCCGGGCTCCCGGCCCCGACCTCCCCCACTGCACCCCCACGTCTTGGGGGTTCGTTCCCTCTCCCCTCCCCGCTCGCCGCGGCGGCGGGGAGAGGACTTGGGCTTGGTGTCCTGCGACCCCAGCGCTCCCGCAGCCGCCGGGGTAGGGGGTGCCGCCCTCGCAAGCCGGGGGCCCCCCCCGGGCCCGGGGTGGGCGCGGCGGTTTCCCTAGAGAAGTGTCCTCAGGTGGGGCGGCGCCTCAGGGGTAGGGGAGCGGCACAGGGAGGTCCTGAC